TTGGTGTTTTCATATTTATTCCAACATAGTTTCACCAATATTGTCTTATATAGGTAGCACATAATTTCCTCTTTTCAAGCTCTCATATTCATCAATATAGAGACTTGATTATTACCCACCGAGGCTTAAAGTTGTTGGTGAGCGAGCACAGTTGGGAACCTGCCCCCCCATCCCGGGTTCTTATCCCCTCTACTACGGCCTTGCCTCTTCAGTGTGGCAAAGCAAGTGTGTGCCTGATGTCGGTGGGTGGCCTCACTAGGTTCCACCGATGAATTAGTTACGCCGCCAAGCACTCCCATTGGAATGGCAGCGGGTAGATACCCTCGTTCCCACACACACACAAAAAAGACTTGATTCTTATATTGAATTAGCGGTGTGCATCACCCTCCTGAGTTCTTTTGATTCTCTTACAAGAGACAAATTCATTTTGAAGCTACCATTTTCTCCCTAATGGAAAGTTAATAATTGCAAAAATTGGATGCATCCCATTTTAGAGATGATGGTTGATATAGTAATTAAATATTATTGGCATAGCGATGCATCCCATTTTTATTACTTTTTAAAACGGAGTTGTAGTACAAATTTTTTAATTTTTGTATTAAAACTCCGTTTTCAGAAGCAATAAAAAAGCCGTCCCAAACGAAGCCTAAGTCCTTTGCATGTCTGCTTCTCTTTTCCTTCCTATGGATTTACGAACATGATAGAGACAAACTTGTTTTATGATGTAATTTTAACTAAGCTCCTTATATGCTAAAGAGGCATATGAAAAAGTTTTTTTTTTTTTTTTTAAGTATTTTGTCTTTCTTAGGTTGTTAAAATGCCACCTAAACCTCAATCAATAATGAAAGATGTTGAGAGAAATACGCCAATAATTTTTTTTACATATCTTAAGTTATTTGTAAGAGCATTAATTGTTCGATGTCATTGACTTATGTGGAAGAGGTTCAACAAAATCCATCCATAATTTTTTTTTAATCTATTGGAGGTTATTTATGTCAGTGTTGCTCAATAATGTTAATATATGCGAAAGTGATTGAATTGAATCCCCTTGGAATCATTTGTGCCTTAATTAAGATGGGAAAAAAGTCATATGTATTCTAAATTCTTGATGAAAATCAGTGTGTCCTTAGATTATTGAAGCTCTTTTGAGGTCAAGGTTAAAACCTTGCTCAGAAAGCAGAAGTCTATCTCATGACTATATATATAATTCAAAACTCTCCTAAAAAGTTTTTATAAAATTTCTTGTATTAATAGGAAGCTTTGAGAGTGATAATTTTCAACAAGATTGTCTTGAATGCATAAAAAATTTAAGATTGTAGGACTAGTATAAACATCTCTTCAAGGTTGTAACCAAAGTTTACCCCAGTCTTGATCCGCTTTCTGTCGAATAATGAATGATAGAAGGGAGAAGTATTATGATTGTAACCATGGCTAGATTTTTATAGTTTTGATGTCGTCGTCATATATGCCCTTCATTTTTTACTTGATTCTTTAAGAATTGATGATCCATTGGGTGAAAAAGAGATTGTACTACTATAATCATGCCTAAGATGTTGACGTGAATGATATTTTAAAGATGTAGCAAGGGTTGGCCTAGAATCACATCGACGTTAAACTATTTTAAGCTGAAAATTTTGTGGGAGTAGGGAGGGATTTTAATGTATTGGCTTCATATATTCTTGTAGATAAATAGATAAAAAAGAATTAAATAGAATACACTAGTGTTTTAATATAAAATTTTTGAAGAGAGAAAAATTTTGGTATCTACCTCGAATAAAATGATCCACTGTGCACGTAAGTTACGGGAGTATATTCTTCCTCTTAATTGGGAACGTTGGAATTACAAAGTATGTAAGACAAACATAGCTTTCTTTAATTGTCGGGAGAGGATGATAATGATAGTTAGATGATGTTCATCAAGAAACGGTCGTCACACAATGGTGGTCGAGCGACAACGGTTAGATGATGGTGATTGATTGGGCGATGATAATTAGGTGCATGAATGGATATATATGGTCAAGTGATTTTGGTCAAACAATGATTGTTAAGCAATGACAAATGGACAATGTCAGTCCAATAATGATGTTGGATGGCTAGTAGAGTTCTAAAATTCTTCATATCTCCAAACTATCTCTAAACTCAAGTCCAAGTTTTGACTTCCCCTCATATGGATAATAAGGGTATATTTATAATATTTGGAGAGTGTTATTTTGATAAATCTTGACAAAATTTTAAAATGCTCAATTGGATGGCCCATATTAATTCTTTGATCATAGATGATTCTTTCTATTTTTAATAATAATATAAAAATTGAGTGATTTTGGGCTCATTGGATTTTTCTCATGGACTTGCACATTTTGATTATAAATATACAAAGATCAAAGATTATTTGATCATTCAATTATTGTCGTAAATTTTTTACTACGTTTCAAGTCTTGATTTGGACTCATTTGGACTGGGATTAAAACACATTTAGTTTTATTGGGCTCACATTATTGAGATATTTAGTTTAACTATAAGCATTCAAAATTTGATGTTTGAATGGTTTTGAATTTAAGTCCAAAAATCTCTCATTAAAAACATCAAGATTTGTGCTTAATTAAGTTAATGTTCTGATGGCATCTCAAAAGTAAACTGCTCATGAATAATATTTGTTCATATTAATATTGGGCCTAAACCTAAGATCACATTGAGCAGAGAGAAAAAAAATGTATATTAAAAATCATGATGGTTAACCACTTCATTAGATGTACCAATAAAAACCCTTGAACAAAGTAGATAACACTCTCTCAAATTTAAATGATTCCCAAATACAAATATGATGAGAATGATTTTTGAATAATTTTTTGTTAGTCAAGTGATATTTTTATTTAAGGGAATTAAGTTTCATACAAACCAAATTTGTATATCCTATTCTAGTTATGGTAAACTTTGGGTTTGACAAGTTAGCTCTAATGGATTAAGAGTCTATTTGGTTTGAAATAAAGTGAGTGTAAAGTATTTTCTTTTTCAAGGGTTTTAAAAATATTGATGTTTGGTCAAATAAAAAATGAATACAGTGTAAAGTATTGCTTTTGCAATGTAATGTATTATTGTTCATTTTTAATGAAAAGTAAACATGGCTCATTTTGATTGAATTCTTTTTTTAGGTAAGCAAGCTACTTTGTTGCAACCGGTTACAACCGTTGTCGCCCATGACCACCACCATCAACCTCCTTTGTTGGTCGCCACCACTGCTAGCTTCTGCTATTGTTGATCACCACCACTGGCCAACATCACCCACCGCCGCCGCTAAAAACCACCACCAATGCCACTTCCGCCATTGGCAACCGACTTCAATCATGTTTGGACTTAACATTGTATTCGATTTACTTTAAGCCAAACAAAAAATAACCTGCCTTTATTTTGCATACATCCAAACTATTCCAAATATAATGCATTCCTTTGAAGTCATATTTTTTTTTAACATTACATTTATTTTTCAGCCAACCAAACAACCCTTAAGCAAAACAAATATCACGATTGACTTGCGAGATCATAAAAGATTTCATCATTATGAACGTTTCTTAATTTTTCCTCATCATCAACAAAAATTAATGACATCCTATTGAAGCCTCAAAGGTCAGTTACAATCAAAATAGTCAAAGCCTCAAATATAGAAACTCAATTGAATTCAAACACTCCTAAAGGATCCAATAGAATACTTTGACCAAACATACCCCTTACTTAGAAAACTAAAATGTACATATTATAAGATTATAGGGATATGATTGTGCATCTCTCTTTTACGTCAAGACTATATTATGCACAATTTATGATGCTACATTCAATGAGCCTCATCACTTCCCACAACTTATACGTAGAGGATCATACAACAAGTCTAAGGCATAAAACATAGCACACAAAATCATTCTTTAATAAAGAAACCACAAAGCCCCTCTCCCTCTCTCCATTTTTTGTAGTTAGTTTATAAGTAATGTCTATGTATCACCCTTAAATAACATTGAATTAAACAACATAATATATTTATTTATTTATTTGCTTATATAACACTTTAATCACATCAAATTATATGTATTTCAACTTAGATAAGTCAATGTTTGTAATACTTTTATATTTTTTAGAGATTATATTATTATATAAGTAAATATAAAGATTTAAATGTTAGATATGTAAATATATTAAAATTTTATGGTATTTATGCAAATCCTCCTTATATTTATATACAAATTATTAAATCTAAAAGATTTTTCCAATAAGAAACATCCATTTCAAAATGGAGTCTTATTTAATAAATATCTTTTAACACCCTTTTAAAGAAGACCTAATACAATAAATAAATTTCTTTAATGTCTAATGTAATCAATATCTTGTACTCCTCTAATTATAAAAATCTAAGTTAATTAATTGATATGAATAATTAATTCAATAAGCACTTTTCATTTCAATATTGATGCCATAATGTATATTATATTAGAAATTTAATTAATCAATTCATTATATAATTAGTTAATATAAATAATGAAATTGAAAAGAACCTCTCACTAATAATTATTAAAAATTTAACTTTAACAATCATTAACATAAAAAAATTATGATTTTAATTGTTTATCTAATTTAAAAATGCCATTTTTTATTTATTAAGTTAATGATTTGTAAAATACATTGTAAATAATATAATAAATTAAATTAACACAAAAAATAATTAAATATTTTTTATATTAACCCCATATTATATACATGAAATTTGTTACAATATATTATATTTATATTTTAAAGTTCAAATCCTCAATTCGAAATTCAAAACTTATGGGGGTTATGGAATCTGGGCCCCACAAAGCGCCAACGGTCACTTGAAGAATTAGTGAACTGCCAAAATTATCCTCAGCAGACGCCCACGCTTTTCGCTAATGGAGGGGCAATATTGGTAATTAAAGAAATCTGGGCGTACTTCGTCGATTGCTTCAGCTGCTTCAGCAGTACAACTTGAATAAATTTACTAATTGTTCGCTCTCGATCTCATTTTTTCTTCCCACAAAGCGAGAGAGAGCGAGAAAGAGAGTGAGAGCGGAGAAAGTTGGCGTGGAGAAGAATGGATGCGTACGAGAAGTTGGAGAAAGTGGGGGAGGGAACTTACGGGAAGGTCTACAAAGCCAGAGAGAAGGCCACGGATAAGATCGTGGCGCTCAAGAAGACTAGATTGCCGGAAGACGATGAGGGTGTGCCAGCAACCACTCTCCGGGAGGTTTCTCTCCTCCGGATGCTCTCATTAGACTCGCATATCGTCAGGTGATCTCCGATCTTGGATCTTTTGCATTCTTCGCTTTTCACGTTTCTCTTTAGGGCATTTCCATGTTATTAGGGTTTTGATGCTCCCTTTTTCAGATTGTGTGGTTTTTGGAATTGTTATTTTGTCCTCACCTCTTACTTTCTTTTCATTTATCTTCGCAATATTCAGATTCGTTGTTTCTTCTTTCTTTTATGTTCTTTTTCTTTTTTTGTGATTCGAGGATCATGTTTTTTTTTTTTTTTGGTTACTGCATCCGTTACTGTTTGAGATCTTCCAGTCTTGAGATTCATTTTCTGCTTCTAAATTGGGTTTCAATATTTAGGATTTTCTTTATATTTGAGATCTTCCGGGCTTTTGCTCTAGATACCTTTTTTTTTAATTTACTGTGCTTTCTTTTGATTTACTTGATTAGATTCATTATTTTAGATCATGGGCGCTCTAATAAATTTTATGATCTGGAAACATGGGGCTTTCATGATAATTAAAAAAAAAAGAAAATAAATTGTCAAAAGATCTAAGTATACGATGTATCAGTCAGTTTATGGCCTTTCTTATGAATTTAGGTTGATTTCTGGGTTATGATACTTATATAGTGTTTTTTATAACAATTGCAGGCTGTTGGATTTGAAACAGGGCCAGAACAAAAAAGGGCAGTCGATTCTCTATCTAGTCTTTGAGTATATGGATGCTGATCTTAAGAAATATATCAGAAGCTTTCGCCAAAATCACGAGCTGATTCCCTCCCAAATTGTTAAGGTTTGTGTTTTAGTCAATAGGAAATTTAAGGCAACCTGTTATAACCTCTTTGAAATGTACACTGGTCTTTCAAATTGTAGGATCCTTCCTTCACAAATTTCTTTCAATTGAAACAACCGACAAATGAAAATTATTAAACAATTGACCAACTAAAAACAAAAAAAAAGTTTGAAGCTAAGGTGAAGGAAGGGGACTTTTGGCCAGATTTGAAGGGATGAAAGAACTTGGGCAAGGATATGTTCTTTAGAGTAGATATCATTGATCCTATTGATAATGTTGATAACCCTGAGGAGGAATGTGAAATTGAATTGTCTAAGCTTGATATTTGGTACAAGGTGGCTCATGATATATGATAATGCTTAAAAAATTAACTTTTGAAATGAATTTCTAGGTAATTTATAGAATGTTGTTTTCTTTCCCTTTAGTTGAATGCGAATTCTTATAAGTATTAACTCGGCTTTTCGAGCAGACCCTTATGTATCAACTTTGCAAGGGCATTGCATTCTGCCATGGCCATGGAGTACTTCACAGGTAGTTTCCACTACAATATATTGTCTAACTATTCCATTGATAATACCTTTATATTTAAATGATGTAGGGATCTGAAGCCTCACAACATTTTACTGGATCGAAAGACAATGATGCTCAAGATAGCAGACCTAGGGCTTAGTCGATCTTATACTCTTCCTGTTAAGAAATATACTCACGAGGTATCTCTCTCAAAAAGTTCCTGTAATATTTTTAATTCTCTTTGTGTTTCTGTTTTTAGCCATGGAACGATTGAATGCTATTTTTGATGAGCTATAATCTATGGGCTTTTTCAGATCTTGACGCTTTGGTATAGGGCTCCCGAAGTGCTTCTTGGGGCTAAAACCTATGCAGCACCAGTTGATATCTGGTCGGTTGGCTGCATATTTGGTAGGATCTTGGACTCTTATTTTTTTCTTCTCAAATTTGGAGAAAATCTGTTGGTTTCACTATGGGTGATATCTAGTGGAATTGGAACAAACTAACCTAAACATGAAATCAAAGATTTTAATTTTGATTGAGTCATATAAAGTTTGAGATGAGATGAAAGCGATTAATACAGAGCTGAGTTTCTAGCTATTTTTGAGTAAAATTTATTAATTTTGTGAATATTTTTCAATTATTGATTAATATTGGTGTCCATAAATAATTATTCAAAGTATATTTATAAAGTTGCATCATCAAATATATTCAACATAAATGCATATAGATATTATGCTTTTTTTTGCTAAGAGTGGAGATTTATTGATGTCAACAGGATTCAATCAGTCTTTACCAATTGAATCAACTATCGCCTACATAATTCTGTGTTAATATGTATGCATGCATGTTTATATGTATGTGTATGTGTGTGCATGTGCTTGATATATATATCCACGAACTCGTTTTCTGTGGAACGAGTCGAGCTCGAGCTCCATATTTGACAGTTGAGCTTGACTCGAACTCGATTCTACTCGTTTGCACCCCTAATCTACACAAAGCTCTTCTCTTGTGCAATTCGTCTAAGATTTATCTCCTATGACTACATCGCTCACCAGATCAAGCCTATTTTCTCCTAGCGAATTTCAAGATTCAAACGTAATAACCAAGCTTCCATGTGATATTTGGGCATCCTTAAGGTGTGGCATTTTGTATGACTTTGCAGCTGAACTAGTGACAACACAAGCACTCTTTACTGGAGATTCAGAGTTACAGCAGCTCCTCCACATTTTCAGGTGCTTTGCTATTTTTAAAAGCACCAACCTTTTTACTTTCTGTTCTGACCTTTACTACATTTATTTTCCTTGGCTGATATATTTTCTTATGAGGAACTTTTAATCAGGCTACTCGGTACACCAAATGAAGAAGTTTGGCCAGGAGTGAGCAAACTAGCAAACTGGCACGAGTATCCTCAGTGGACCCCAAAGAGCCTATCATCTGCAGTTCCTACACTTGATGCGGATGGCATTGATCTGCTTTCGGTGAGCTGACAATTCTAATCTAGAACATTCAGGCTTCGTTTGAGATGATTTTCTTACTGTTTCTTAAAGCAGCTTTTTAGTACAATAAATAAAGCTGCTTTAAGAAACATTAAGAAAGCTGTCCCAATCAAAAACCTTAATAGAAGCTTAAAATCAGATTCATTCAGAATAAATAAAGGAAAATGGATGATTTCTCCACAAATTAGAGCAACCAAGTGTGATAATAGAATCTGAATTTGGTGGAGTGATGATCAACTTTTGTTTCGTTGATTTTTTTGCAGAAAATGTTGATGTACGAGCCACTCAAGAGGATTTCTGGAAGGAAGGCTATGGAGCATCCTTACTTTGATGGTCTGGACAAAGAATCCCTGTGAGGGTTGTTCTTCTATTCTAGAAAGATTACTTTTTTCCTATGAATGTTTCAAAGCTGTTTGCTTCCTTCTGCACTGCAGCTGTTTGCAGTGATTACTAGTTTTTTAGCAATGAAGCACAAGTTTGGTAATGTTTGTACTCAAAACTTTTAACTAACACCAATTATTCTAGTGGTGTTACTAACTACTGTTGTTTTGTGAAGGCCTGCAGGCTAGTCTATTTGGTGGTCGATCTTCTGTATTAGCTTTTTCTGTTGTTCAAGCAATCAAGCTTCACTAACTGAAGCTATATAGATCTATGTGCATGTTAATCTTATATTATATCCAATTAAATAGCATAATTCCACCTTTTTATCAAACATTTCACTTATTTTGTGGGAAAATACGGCTTATTGCTATCATTTTGTGGGAAAAATTATTCTGTGCGGACGCCGAACGCCATCTGGAGAACAAACAGAATGCGCCACGTCATCCCTTCGCTCGGCTGTTTGATACTGCAGTTCAGTACTGCTAACGTGACTGCATCTAATTACCTCCGAACGTAGAGCTGCGTCCAGCCACCGCATAGAAATAATCTCTATTTCTATAAATAAAAATGTTGAGATCTACGTTGTCATACCTTAAATTTCACCTATTAAATAGTTTGAAATATTATTATGATGATGGCTGTTTTTAGATTAATCAATATGTTTTAGCATGACAAACCATTTGCCATCTTGGTTTCGTTGGTGAATGTGAAATGATTAAGAGATATTAGTTTAAAAAATAATTAGGAAAGGTAGCAATAATACGATTAGTTTATCCATTAATCCATACAGTTCTAAACGATGCAGTTAAAACTTCAGATTTAAATTAAATCAAACTCTTCCTAGATTGAATTAATCTTGATTTAATCATCCACGACTACTTAATACTTAGGTAGTAAGTATTTAAATCATCCACGATAATTCTAAATCATCCACGACTATTTAATATTAATCTTGATTTAAGGACCTTCATAGCAGCTACAGAAGCAGGGGAAAGAAAACCAGCCACAATAGGATTATTTTAAAATAATAAAATAATGATAAAAATTTATCCCAAACAAAATCTTAAAGTTTGATTAGGTATGTTCCAGCTACTTGATAAATGGCCGGAGCTCAATAAGCTGTTGCCAAGGAGAAATTACTCTGTGCAGACACCAAACTATCCGGAGGAAAATCAGAGCGCGTCATGTCACCTAGCAAACAGTCGCAGTACACAGCAAAGGAGAGCTTGGCACGCTCTGATTCGACTTCAGACGGCGTTCATATACACACGGAATAATTTCTCGTTGCCAAGAATGGATAAATGATAAACAACAACAACAACATCAAGCCTTTAAATGGTCTTGGAATCAAGTTACCAGTTACAGGAAGATACATAACATTAGCAGTCAAACTCCAGTAACTAGTTAGCAACCAGCAGTAGCTACAGTGCAGTCTGGTGGACTCATCAGACATTTCACCAGCAGCATTGCCTAAGATTGTGAGCAACAATTGCAATAATACAAGGCATGGATAAAAATAGACATGTTGGTTGAAAGAAGATGATAATAGCTTAAATTTGCAGTCAAAAGAGTTTCAGCGGACAGATCTGCTGTTGTTACTACATTCTTAACAACTTGCAACAAATATAAGACAACCAGTGCAATCAAGTATGGAGAAGACGAGAGAAATCTAATTTTTAACGACGATACAAGATAGAGTTAATTAAAAAAAGATAGCAGCATTACTTCACTCCAAGAGATCGTAAATAAAAATAAAAAGAGACTGGCACCACTTCACTCAAATGCCCATTGATTCTCCCTCCGAATCTCCTCCTCTTCCTCGGGGGTGAAGTCGTTCTTGATGTTAAAGGTCTTACGAATCTCTTCAGGAGTTTTACCCTTAATCATATCTGCTACGGTTTGGCAGGTCAAGTCCAGAAGGCCTTTGATGTTCAAATAGTTTGCTGCCTATAGACATCACAGGAACCATAAGTAGTATAAGAGACAAGAAATGTCTTATGGAAGCATGCAAAATTAACTATAAAACTGAAATCAACAGCAGAATTGGAAATGGATGAAGATTCAGCAAATCACAGACTAGCTTTCCCACAGAGGACAATGATAGGAGAAGCTGACATACCAGGTAGCTCAGCTAAATAACGAACAAGTCATTTGTTGATAAACACATGAACAAAAATCTAAAGTCGCAAATCCAATAAATTACCAGAGGAGATTCAGGAATCATCGAGTCTATTCAAAATAAGCAGAAAATCAATCTTCAGTTAGTTAGGGATGCCGAAAATTGCAACACAAACTGATATAGACATAAATCAACATCATCATCATTATCATAATTGTTAGCCTTACCTGTCTATAATTAGCAATCAGAACTAATTATGACTATCCAAAATCTTAAAAAAACCTCGCCAAGTCAACAATTAAATCGCATGCAGTTCCAACAAAACAGGTAATATAAACACAAGTAGCATAATTAAAAAATTTAATACTGATTCAAAGAAGGAAAGAAAAAAACCAAAGAATTAATTTAAATACGCTAAACCATGATGAGGTTGACAATTGACCAATATAAGATTTAGCAAAATAATGGATATTGAAGATAAGATATTATCCTTGGTAACTGTTTTGAATCTTTTGATGCAAGTAGGATTAACACTTTACCTTACCGTACCAAAGAAAGGATTTGAGAGAGAAAAAGAGAATGTCTACTTAAGCTAATCAATACCTAATTAGACTAATTAAACACAAATTAATCAACACTTAAAAATAATTAGTTTAATTTAGCAAATACTCATTAATTGATAGTCATCACCTGGCTAATTATTAATTACTATCTACATTACTTAAGTATAAAAAAATACTTGATTAGCACAAATCAATACAACTATTTAAAAAGTGGCTCGTCATATTCTAATAATATAAAATCCTAATTATAAAATTATAGAATCCTAGCCTTCCATTTTCTATAACCCCACCTCTTCACTTTATTTAGTTATTGTCATTTCAAATTCACAAAAACAACATCAAGCCTTTATTTCACTATGTGGGGTCGGCTACATGAATCCTTCTTCTACATTGTGTCCGGTTAAGAAGAGATTATTCTGCGCGGATGCCAAATGCAGTTCACCGTCCGGAGACCAACTAGAATAGGCCACGTCAGCAGTACCGAGCAGTTCCGAGCCGCATACCAAGCAGGAGGTGACGTGGCACATTCTAATTGGTCTCCGGATGGCATTCGGCGTCCGCACAGAATAATTTCACCCTCTTAAAAGTCAAATTCTCATTTAGATCGAATAAAGAAATGTCATTTCTAATATTTTCTAACCAAGTCTTTTTAGATTAAATCTAATACATTTATTCCCCTAGCTGGGTCATTGGAAAGCCATCATTTTATGTGACCAAACCATCTAAGGCGACTCTCTCTAATATTATCTTCCACTGGTGCTACTCCAACATTTTCACGTATGCTCATTTCGTATCCTGTCTCTAAGAGTAAAGCCACTCATTCACCTAAGCATCATCACCTCTGCAACACTTAACTTAATATTATGCTTCTCTTTTAATGGCTAACATTTCGTGTCATAAAGCATTGCAGGTCTAACCACCATCTTATAGAATTTTAACTTAAGTTTGAGCGGTACTTTTCTATCACACAACAAACCCGATGCATTCCTTCACTTCATCCATCCAACTTGAATTCTACTAATAATATCCCCCATCTATTTCACCATCTGAACAATAGACCCAAGATATTTAAAATGTGTACTCTTATTAATAACTTGATCGTTCAACGTAACAAATCCCCCACTAAATCTATTCAGTTTTAGATCTACTCAAACGAAAAACTTTAGCCTCTAAGGTTTACCTCCATAATTTAAGTTTACCTTCAACCCCTCTTTAGCCTTATCAACAAGAAGAATATCATTAGCAAAAAGCATACACCGCAGAACATCCTCTTGCATACACCAGGGAACATGTCATTTCAAATTCACAAATGCAAATTTTTTTAATAATTATCCAGTGAGCTATAAACTAGCCTTTTTTTTCAAACCACATCAAATCAAAAATTTCGCTTTGCTTACAAATACACTACTCAAATAAATAAGAATAAAAGCTGACAATGATATTGTAGACTATTATAATTTCAGTTAAGGTTTTGATTTAAAATGATCATTTTAATAGTATTATTATTTACATAATGGTATTATTATCAAAAACAATTTTTTTATAATTATAATATATATTAATAAGGCCATATATAGTTATATCCTATCAACCCAAAAATCAGTAAAACGCATATTCATTTTGTTTTCTCATTACCTCTTTCCAACTTTACCAGTTGCACCCTACATTGAAAATCTATTGGATGTTGGAACGCCAACTCATCTCCCTAGGAATTGAAATGCCCATCTGAAATGTTGACAGATATGCACTCCAATATGCCAAGATTCTCGTCAATCTGAACCTCTTATTAAGTTTAAAAACCGATTCATTTTCATTTTCCTGATGCCAACAAAAATATACTTAAGATCTTCCTTCTCTCAATCATTATTTTTGCTTCTATTATTTTCTTCCCTTCTATCAATCAGCCATTTTAAAAGTATTTTATATGATGCATGGATAATATGGAAACTTGAAAATAAATAATTATTGCATCAAGGAACATGTAAAAATAAATATCATATATCTTTTTCATTCAAAACATCAAAAGGAAATGATTAATAACCAATTTATCATAAAGTAAATAATGGACATCATACTAATGTCAGAAATGTTATTTTATATAAACATTGGGCTATTCATTATTATTCATGCATAATATCTAGATACAACCATCACATAAATATCGAAACAAGCTCAAAACTGAAAGCTATGAAATGGTATATACATAGGACACGATAAATTTGCATATTATTTTCACAAAAAAAATGAAGAGGAAATTTTTGATGAGATTCAACAATTTCAAGATGAAAGATGGTCTCAGCACCAAAAGCAATATGAAAAATATTTGAATTTGATCTAAATAAAATGTATTCATCAGTGTTTAATTTACAATTACATTTAGAAGACAAGAAACTTATACCATACCCAAAAACAAAATTTAAGAGATTTATTAACAATTACTAATGCAAAAAATGATCTTGACAGCATTTATAGCTCTCAATAAAAACACCCACAAAAAATCTCTACAAAGAAAGTCCATATGAATGCGTATGGAACAAAACAAAAAAAAAGAAGAAAATTATGAGAAAATTGGTCATATTAACATGACAAATTCCTTCACAAAGCAAAATGCATAGATAAGGTTGGCCTTCCAAAAATACCACACAAATAAATTTAGCCTTGTTTTAAAGTTGAATTACTCAGCTGTTAATAAAATCAAATTATATAATTTGTGATGAAACACCTGTGTTTAAAAATAATAATATTATAATCTTTCAACAATGCTCACGAGCAAGTATAGTATTTTCTTGTGGAAAAGCAATTTTCTTTTAATGGGATTTTCATTAATTAGTACCAATAATGAGATGTGTATCAATATTATAAATTATTAACTATAGCATGGCCTAATCATATTTGCGGCCTAAAAACAGAAATTTTCAAATTAAAGAATATAAGATCACGATGAGCCAAAATTTAAAAAGTTTAGTATATATTCCAAACAAGATAACAATTAATTATGAAATAAATGAATCTTCAGATAATTCTTCAAAAAATTAAACATTCATTTTTCAAGATCAAAATGATCAATCTTTTGGATGCATTATGCAAAGAGCTATCATGAAAATAAAAAAATGAGTTTGTTGATAAATTAAAATTAAAGTAATTAAATTATTTCCACATGATAAGGCAATATTCCATAATTTCCACAGTGTTATTGACAATAATTTCAATCTCTATCAAGAAAATTTTCTCAACTCATTGACACCAAATAGACTTCCTCCCAACTAATTTGTACGTAAGAAAAATTGTCCAATTATGTTAAAAAATATCTTTCAAATAATATTTTCAATGAATAATTTGCCTAAAAATAAAAAAAAATAATGTCATCATTGCAAAAATATTGGTTGGTTAATTTTTAGGAAAAAAAATTATAATGATGCCTCAAATACAACTATGTTCGATGACACGCTTCCATTCAAATTTTATAAAAAGAAATTCCAATACGCATGTGCTTTATGGTTACTATTATGGCTACTTTCAATAATAAGTCATAAGGACAAACCATCATACCTAACGTAGAAGTATATCCTCCTCATAATATCTTCTTATATAAACAATTATATGAGCATTAAAAAAAGCATCTCAATGAACAAAACAAACATAATAATCACACCTAATAAATATCTCCCAAAGCTAACCTTACACAAGACATGTTGTATATAAGGAAATATTTACATATTATAAGTTATTTTCAAGTGGGAAAATATATGCATTTTTATAATATATATATATTTTAATTCCTTTAAATTTGTTATATCTATTTTTTATTCATTTAAAAAAATTATGGATAATCATTTAAATCATTTATTTCGATATATACAATAATCTTAAATTATTTAAGACAACATAATTAATAAAGCATATTATTATTATACTTCTCAATATATATATATATATATATATCTTATTTCTTTAAAATTTACATCATATATGATTAATTTTATTTTTTTGAATATGGCTCCCGGGTATATTTAGAAAAGTTCAATGAGAATATTGAAGAGAGAAGCCGGAAGGTGGAGGCAATAGTGGCTTGAGGTGGGTAGAGGTGGCTGGCTTGCGGTGTAAAGCATTCTAGTTCAAAATTGGGCGAGTTTTGTTGACCTAAAAAATGAACTAAACTGATTTACACTACAATTACGTTACTTTGCATTCCTTTTTCATACAACCAAACACCAAAATTATCAAAACCCCTTATTGAACGTTGTGATGCATGATTTGTCTATATCGCAATGCTTTGCATGCAAAGTGTGAGACAATGCATAATTTTAACAACAATGAAAGGAGTTGTGCAAAAGATAACACAATAAAATTAACTACTTGTATGGCATTATAACACAATGAATACCACACCAAAATGAGATTCAATAAGCCAAAACCCAGGAAGTTTGAACGAGGTTAATGAAGGTCAAGATGATAATCTTAGACTAAAAAACCATATCATCTTCACACTAATAAAGCTAAAACTACATACAATATCCAAATCACCTTGGTGAGCATTGATAAAGGTAAAACTGGATAAATTAATCACAAACATATATAGCATTAAATAAATAAATTTTCATATAGCCTATAAATGAAATACATTAGACTGCCATCTTCCTTAAAGGGTTGTTTGATTGCAAATATTAGGAGTGTATAGTAAAATAAATATAGAGGTTTTAATTTTTTCACGTGTTTGATACAAAATAAAATTAGTGCAATTTAATTTCTTAAGGAGCAAAGAGTCACTAAGATTTTTAAGATCTGAGAACAAGGGGTGAAAGATTTTCGATCTGACATGGAGAGGAGAAGAAAGATAGCTTGCATAGAAGGAGCATAACTTCATCCATAAATTTTGGGATCTACTACATTTATACATTTTTTCCGTTTTATTGCTAAATTTGAAGATGGTGGTCACTTTTGGTTACTCTCTGGTGGTAATCTGGAGCAACTAAATGCGTGACATATTTTTCATTAAAAATAGATGTTTTATACGAAAAATCTTCTCAATATTTTAATTTAAGTTCAAATGATGCTTTTAAAAATTGTATAGATCTATTAGGTTTATAATTCATAGTTCCTTTACATCCAACCAAATAGAGAAAATAGTTCCACTACATTTAATTTGCAGCTAACAAAAAGGCCTTAAGAAATATTGCAACCTAACAGCCCATAAATAAGCTAAAAAGCCAGAAATCACGATTCTCAGTCTTCTTTCCCAAATCATTCCATCGAGTATTTTAAGACTCATAAAGATTTATATCAAAGGAAAACAACCTTAAAAACGAACATGAAACGATAGAAACAATCGGCAATCGCCATTATTGATCGCCAACATATATATATTTTTTAAAGAAAGTCATCAGGAAATTAGGGCAAGCAAAATAAAAAATAAAAAAGCAAGATATACATACCAAAATAAGATCGAACAACGTGGCCTGGTCAACCTTCACAAAATCAGAGTCCCAGCCCTTAAGATCCTCTTCGGCAGTCTTCTCATCGCCACCGCCGGCCGCAGCGGCCTTGGCAGCCGACTCGACGTGCTTCTTGCAATACTCGATAACCTTCGAAAGGATCTTACTGTTGACGTTGGGGAGCGGGATCCCGCTATCCGCGCATCCATCCTCTATCATGTGACGGATCGTCTGAGACTCCATCGCTACAGTTTCTTCCACCAAGAACTCTTCGCCATCCGAGCTCTTCAAAGTGACCTTCTTTCCTTCATCCGAAGCCATCACTCTCGCTATCGATCACAAAGATTCGAAGGATTGCAGAAAAATGATAGGATTATCAAAGGAAATCCCTTCACAAAAGAACCCTAGGAGAGAAATTAATGAACGGGGAGTCGTGGGCTCGTTATTTATTGTAAAGAAGAGTAGATTTTTATCGACCACAATTTTCTTTACTTTTTCCTAAAAATATTTATCAAACTAAAACAAATTCATACACATATTATATAAATAAGATTCAAATAACGATCTCTTAATTGATAGTCGAAATTCTTAACCAACCAACAGACTAAGATGAGCTACGACATATTTAGATATGATTGACATTTTCAAAAAGTTTAAAATTTCAAATTAAAACTAAATATAACTAATGATATATATGAGTGAATGGTTGCCGTTTTTTAAAGGTGATTATAAAATTATTGCTAAGAAAATAATTGTTTTAAAATTGTTTTAGAAAACTACTTGTTAATAAAAAAAAGATTAAAATAGTGATCAAATAGAAATTATAATTGTAACATGAAAGGCTAAACAATTGAAAAATTGTAAAATAAGTATAATTTTTCTTTCATATTTTCTTTTTTTTTAATGGAATATATCAATATAGAAATTGAACAAAGTTGCTCTTAATTAATTGCATTTAGATTAGGGCAATAGTTATGACTCAAACTTGACCAATGACATTATTATTTTAAGGCTAAAAACATTGTTGCTTTGCTCTAATGTAATGTTTGATATATCATAAAAAAATTATCATGAAGGGCACGAATCATGAGGCAAAATTATGTTTGAACTTCTGAAATCAAATTAGGAATCATATGGACTCAAATTTCAGCAAACTTACAGTCGAACTAAACGTCTTGAAAATACGACACCAAATTCGACTCAATCCAAACCCAAATGGGTCCAAATCAATGACTCGAAGCACATTTAAAAATTCAAACTATAAATTGGATGACCAAACAGTTTTTGAATGTGACATGCTTATAGTCGAATCGAGTGCCTTGATGAGACTAATCCAACGAGCTCAAGATTGTCAAATTCTGATATCATTAAGACATTGAAATGTCTAGTAAACAGTCCATAACCAAGGGGATCCTTATCGGCCATCCATTCAAACTACTCCCAACTTACTCTTGATCTCCCTCCTATTTATTGGTCATGTCACTCTCAAAAAACTATAAGACCCCTTATTCCTCATGAAAGGGAGGAGGAATGAGGGAGCAAAGGAAGGGAGGCAAGAAAGAGAAGGAAGAGAGAGAAACTAGAGCTCTCTTGCCATCAAACTCCTCCTCGACCACTGTCAGGCCACCGATTGTCGTCGGACTATTGTCGGACTTCTGCTCGGTCAACGACTAACGTCAGACATCTACCTAACCCCCGAATGACTCTAGACTTCTGCTTGAACACCAACTGATGTCGGAATTTCACGAGGCCAATGACTGGCGCCAGACTTCTGCCTAATCACCGACTAATGCTGGATTTTTATCTAGCCACCAACTAACAACGGACTTTCGCCCAACCACCGAGTGTCTTCAGACTTAGTCCCGACCACATATTATTATTGGACCCCTCCCCGACTACTATTGTCCGCCAACTATAATCATTCTAATCATCGTCGCTACACAAACGGTCCTTTTGACCTTTATCGCCAGACTACAGTCTTTCTGACATTCGTTGCTAGATAAAGGTCTTTATGACCTTTGTTGCCAGCCGACTATGGTTCTTTTGACCTCCGTTGCCAGACAACGGTCTTTCTGATCTCCTTCGCTCGCCGACAATGAATTTTCTGACCTTTGTCGACCGCCAACTACAGTCTTTCCAACATAAGTCGCTAGACAACGATCTTTCTGAACTCGTCGCCCACTGACTATAGTCTTCTTGACCTCCATCATCAGAAAACGGTCTTTCTGACCTCCGTCGCCCACCGACTACGATCATTTCGACCTACATCGCCATATAACAGTCTTTCCGACCTCTATCGCCCGACGACTATGATTCTGCCAACTAAACAAACATGTCAATACTGATTCTTTTAATTCTCATTGTGTAATGCATTCTATATGATGCATATTTATTACATCAAACCAAGGCCTTTCCCAATGAAGGGACTTATATGTAATCAACTATAAATATTAGTGGTTCATTCTAATTGGGCCAGACCCTATGATTTGTCCCTATTTTCAGGGGTTTCCATATAAAAACTCTAGTGTCTCTTATGAAGGCTGAACCCTCTCTTTTATCTAATTGCATGCTAGAGCTTCGTACAAAACTAAGACGTTAAACTTTATATTTCTCTATCGCCGCGAATATTTCATAACGCAACAATTTTGATATGGTGAAATAGTCTGCAAAATGAGTAAGGATGACCAAAAGTTGGCTCCAAAAGATTCTAAGACTTCAGAGAGTTTTTCATTTTTCATTTACATTTTAGAGTATTATAAGTTCTTTGTGATGCGCAAAGAGTGGAGTACTTTGTTATTTTTTTTAAAGAACTATGTCTGGAAGCTTATTTCGGATGAAATTCCACACGCCACGCTAGCAATATCTGCCCAGTAAGCATGCAACCAACACAGCGATGCCTTCTCCATCAACCGCCACTTCTGACTTATCTTCACCTCGTCTATTGCCAATGCTATTTCACTTTAGCAGATTTCTCTTATCTTTTACACACCATCATGTTGAGATGTCTTCCCCAGCTAGTACACCGCACGTAATAATTTTTTCCCATGAGCGATTATTCTGTGCAGACACCGGACGAGAGAACCATCCGGTTCTGCGCTCGGTACCGAGCGGTACTTAGTGCTCGGTACCGAGCGTGTTACTTTTTTGAGACGATGTGACGCATTTTTTGATCTCCGGACGAATCCAGACCCGCACGTAATAATTTTTTCCCATCATCCATGACTCCTCCCATCACATATTATTGTTGTTGTTAGAACCATTATCTTTAGGCAATCTTAGTTCAAACTAACAATTAAACAAAGTTTGAATTCGAACCAATTTCATTCGTTACGAAATCCAATTAATGCACCTCATAAAATTAATATTTTTAAACAATATAAAAGAAAAATAATCATACAACAATAACAACAACATCAAGCCTTTATCCCACTACGTGGGGTCGGCTACATCAATCTTTTTTCTCCATTGTATCCTATTAAAAATCAAATTCTCGTTTAAATCTAATAAAGAAAGACTATTTCTATTATTTTTTAACCAAATCTTTTTAGATTTGTCTCTACCTTTCTTAACATAAGTCAAATCTAAAACCTCTACTTTCCTAACTTGGTCATTGAAAGGCCGTGTTTTATGTGACCAAATCATCTAAGGCGACTTTCTCTAATCTTATCTTTTACTGAAGCTACTCCAACTTTTTCATGTATATGCTCATTTCGTATCCTATCTCTAAGAGAAAAATAATAATAATAGAGAAAAAATATATACATCAATATATTTTTT